GCACAATGGGATAAAATAGATATTTAATGTCTTTTTTTATTGTTTGCACTTAATTGTTAACTGAACAGGATCTATTTATCATTTCTTTCTACACAAAATGCACATATTAATACTATATATATATATATATATATATATATATATATATATATACACATTCCTGTAATAGAAAAATGTAGCATAATGTGGGGACTACATGTTACACTTTTCTATTACAGGACAGTTAACTCTAAAAATCTAAAAAATATGGACAATCATTTTTTGTTACTTTTTAAGAGAACGAAAAATAGATTGATTTGATGGAAGGGGAGAGATCTACTTTTCGAACAATATAATAACCCCACAGAGGTAGGGCAGGTTGAGCTGAAGATGGTTAGATTATAGAGTAGAATCGGAACATAATAGAGCTTATATATATCATGGTTCTCATGATACGTTCACAAACCTAGATATAATTGTTATGTTGTATTTTCAAGGATTTCATAACTTTCAAAATCATTGCAAATTAAAATCTGTTGAATATGTCTTTCATTTCTGTTCAGATATGTGGTATCCTGATTTTTGCACTCCCTCACAGGTTATTTCACATCAGTAACCTGTACTTTGTTTCAATTTAGTTCAGTTTATTTACAGTATATAGCATCAATTCACAACACCTCATCTCAAGGCACTTTACAGAAACAATTCAACCAGATCATACAGTCAGATTGGTTCAAAGTTTGCCATCTAAGGAAAACCAGCTGATTGCATCGACTAATTGACTTGAAGGCAATCCCTCACACCAAGCCTGCTTGTAGCGACAGTGGAGAGGGAAAAACTCCCTTTTTTCAGGAAGACAACTCCAGCATAACCAGGCTTGGTGTGATCAACCACTTGGGGTTCAAGGAGACCGAAGCAGCCATACAGAAAGAAGCAGAGATATAACGGTAACTGCGAACCGGCTCCACAGACGGCCCCCTCCAGGAAACACACAGTCAGGCAGATGAGCTCCGAGCCAACTCCCATGTCAGAGGATGAAGAGAGCACATCCAGTTATTCATCAATTTTCCCATCAACTCTTACTAGCTGCTTTCCTTACTAGAAACAAGCATTTCCACAGCTTGATGCTTCCATAAGCTGTTTTATTTGGACATGGTATATATATGTGTGGGTTATGATTTATAACTCTACCAAAAATAGATTTGCACATAGGCCAAAAGTACAATTTTGCTATCTGTCTAAAGCACCTTATTTGACTTTCTAGCTGTGTCCTCTAAATGACTTACACACGGGAGCTTTGATAGCTTTATTTCAACAATGGCTCGGTTGTTGTCTCTCTTTTACAAAGGCAATATTTGTTTTTAGGTACTCTATAATTTTGGTATCAACAAAGTTACCCACATGAGCTGTGTTAACTCTCCAGCACCTGTTGCAGTTGTACCATTTTTTCTGTTTTAATTTTGTGTAAGGGCCTGAACAATGCTCAGTAAAATATTCAAAACACTGGATAGTTCACTCACAATATAGAACCTTGTCCTGGACCTGCTTGCTGTTTTTATCATTTGCATAATGCTGTTTGTTTACTAATGTTATCTCACAAACCTTAAAGCCATTTGCAGAGTACCAATATTTGTAAGAAATCTTTAGTAAGATTTGAACCTTGACATGATTTATAAGTGCAATAGAGATGGAGATGGATTTTATTCAGGCAAAATAGAAATATCTACAATAGTTCAGTATTTTTCGGAAAAAAAAAAAAGTTACTGTTTACTCTAACACATACATTTCAATTAAACTACTTTAAGCTTTGGGGTTGTAAGGTGAGAAAATGTGGAAAAGGTTCAAGAGGTATAAATACTTTTGCAAGCCACTATAACCCATCTGAAAAAGCTAGATGAGGTTTACTGTTCAACAACTTTTCATGGAGCACTTTAAGCCAGTGGTAGATAACAGCCTCTCTGTTGTGTTAATATCCTTAAACCAAATGAACTAAAATGCCATGAGCTCTTTTCACCCTTTCTCACTCAGCTTGCTTTTACCCTTTCTCCTTTTCATTCAATCATCTCTGCCTGCTCACCTGTATCTTTCTTTCCTTGTTTCTCATGTATGCTTTTTGGCAGCGACGAGTGCTTAAAGGGGGTATTAGCACGGAATCTGTGCAAAACCATCACAGCTTAGCAGGCTAGTGAAGGTGAGACAGCAGGGATTTCCTTTTCGGCCCCTTTGCTACATTTTTGCTAAATTGCTTCTTGTCAGGTGAAGTTGAAGCATAGAAGGCCTGCCTTTCTTTCTGTCATACTTATTGTGGACACAAATATGCATGCTCATGCACGGCAAGCTCCGTGTGTCTATCTAAATGGTATAATGTGCACACACATAATGAAAGTACAAAGGATTAGTGATATGCCTAATGTGGGTGTATGCTTGTGTGTGCAAATATAATTTGGGGAGGACAGAGGCATTCTCAGTATAGACTTTGGTTGGCTGCCAAAGAACCATCTTACACCTGGAGCTCTTGGCTGGCTCATAGTGATATAGCATTAGGGATACCTGCAGTACTCAGAAAAACACAGTGTCTTTCAATTTTACAAATACAGTATAAATAGTTTAAGCAAACAAGTCAGCTAAGGTGTTACACTCTTCTCTTTCTGACCCAATTGGCATCTTACTTTTCTCTAGTGTGTAGCTCATTTTTACCCTATAATTTAGCAGGTTAGTCTGACCTAAAGTTACTAAAAGATTAAGAACTCTTTCGGGGGACAAACCCTTGGTCAATGGATTTACTTCATAAATCCCTTTTCTATTCATTCCATACTTTAAATTTTTTTTTTGCACATTATATCTGCCTTCAACCAGCTGCATTCATGAAAACACATACTTTCATACACCAATATGTAGATTAGGAAATCTGTGGTTTAGTGCCTTGCCCAGGGCACATCGGCATGTTACAAAAGAAAGCTGGAATTGAACCAATCCAAACCGTTCTGACATTTCAAAACAACAACTCCATTCAGTAAACCACAGTTGCCTGAATAGCATGTACTAAACCAACCCTTCCATATCTTTGGAAGGTGTTCAATGTTCCACATGAAAAACAAAAATCATTGTAATTACAGGTTTTAACTAAACTAATAATTATGATTTTGGTTGCCAATAATGGCATAACAGTTAAAATTAAGAGATAACTTTTTTCTAAGTTGAACATTTTCTTAGATCAGGTCTTTGTTATTATTTGGCTGAAAGTAAATTAGATATGTATATATGTGAGACAAAGTAAAATGCTATAAACATCATTGGAGAAAAATATAGGTGGTGGAATATAAATCCCTTGGTGTTGATCTGGACAACAAATTGGATCAGAGACGCAACTTTGAGGTCATCAACAAGAAGGGACAGAGGACATTGTACTATTCGATGAAGCTAAGGTTCTTCAAGTCTTTGCAGCAAGATGCAGAGTGTATTCCATAAACTTGTTGTGTAGAGTGTAATTTCAGCTGCCACAATCTGTTAGAATGAATGACTTAAAAAAAAAAGCTCAGCAAGCTTGTGAGGGAGTCTGTCTATGTTCTGGGGATGATTTTACCAAAAAAAAAAAAAGAAAAAAAAATTATGGCCCATCGCTCTTTAGAAGATTGTTAAACCACAGCAGCATCTTTAACCAAAGGTTTTTCTAGATATGCTGCTTAGAAGACCATTAATCGAGGTCCTTTGTTTTTTCAGCTCTAAACATCTACAACAACTTGTTGAAAATATGATTGAATTATGACATTTAATCTGCCTTTGAGAATTAAAAATTATTTTTGTATTTCATTTTGTGTGTCACATATGATTCTTCTTAGGCACCAGTAAAATTCTATCTATTATTTATTTATTTTTGTATTAAATTGATTGACCAGGAAACAGACTAAAGAGAAGGGGGCAAAAAAACGATAGAGGTCAATGGGCCAGAACTCAAACCCATGACAGCTGATTCAAGGACTGAGGCCTTTGGGCATGGATCAAACACTTAACCCCTGTGCCACTGCTACATCCATCCCATATGATTTGATTGTATTTTCTGTTGTGGTTGTAGTAGAATAGTGTGTAGAACTGTTAGGGCTGTACTCTTTTTGGGCATAGTACACAATCACTGCATTACAGTATATTTCCATTACCTTGCCAACCATCTTTTTATTTATTATCTTCACAAGACAAATATTCTGATTGATAAATGATCAACTTGTTAATGAAAGGCACTTACTAAAGTGTGAAATCAGAAAAGTAAATTTGTGTTTAAACTATCTTGAAATATCAAATAGATGAACTGTAACTAAACTTTAAGTTGTTTTGCTCTACATGTTGCGAAGCAAATCTTGTAAGAGCAGATACTAGGCTCTCTTTTACTGTCTCTCTTTGTTTCTCTACAATTCACATTAAAGCGCAAATCCACATGTTGAGTTTAAATGAACTCATTCTGTGTAGAGTGACAAAAGGAGCTTGGATAGAAATCAGTAGTTGAAGGAACAGAATTTCCACTCAACACGCCAGATTAAAATGGAAACGTGCATGTGGATCGTTTTAGTCAGTGCTTCAGAATGCTAATGCCCAACATGAGTTTTGGATGAAGCTCAGATATCTCTCAGTTCTTTGCACAGAGCCAGATACAGAGGATTTAAAAGTGTGAGTGTGAAGCAGGTGAGCAATGTGATCTATGGCAGCGCCAGGACAATCATGCAACACTCTCAATAATAAAGGATAGAAATGACTTTAAATTCCCCTTCCTTAACACATATTTTTACACCATCACTCTGCAATGTTTTATACTGTAAATATTACAAGACTTTTACTACTTCCAAATATCAACAATTAAGTGTGCTGAAAGATGTGGTTTCTAGAATTGACCACTTAAGTGTGACGAGAGAAAATGTGTAATAAAAAGTTTTTTAAAATCTTTTGTTAATCTGTTTTCCTTTCCTGTACCATTTGTTGTAAATCCTATTTCGATGATTATTCTTACATTTTCTTCTCTCGATTTATAATAGGTGGATGCTCTGCGAGTGCGCCTCGAGGAGAAGGAACAGATCCTGACTAAAAAGTCGAAGCAACTGCAGGACTTAAGTGATGAAAAGAGCACACTGACGGGAGAAATCAGAGATATGAAGGACATGCTGGATGTCAAGGAGAGAAAAGTGAATATCCTACAGAAGAAGGTAAAGAGTTCAGCCAGTTTTATAATACTTTGATTATTCATCCTCAAAGTATTTTTATTATGATTAAGAAGTCTAACAATTGTTGGACCTTGTTTTAAATCGGTCATTTTGGGGAATTTAGTTAAGTCATATTAAATCAACTTTTCTTAGGTTTAGGTTTTACCAATCTAATAATTGGTATTAGCCTTCAAGGAAAAGGATAAACCTAAGGTATTAAATTAGGTTTAGGTATTAATTAAGCTAAAGCTTTAGTTTTATCCTAAACTGCCAGTCAGGGGTAATTTGTCAAAAAAAAAAAAAGTTAAATTGGATTATGAAATTAAAAAAGTAATTGCTCTAAATTTTGAAATAAAATGATTTAACAAAACATATTCAAAAATTCAGCCCAATTAACCAACCTCTATGCACTACACTTGTAAAAAGGGCAGCAATGCTTTGAAGTCATAAATATTAAACAGTAATGAAACAGTTAACATGCAATGTTAGGTCTGTCAGTTGTCATTAATGATTCATTTCTGCTTGAACACTCTCTCAAACGACTTGGTTAAATGTTATTTACAGTATAAGCAGATGGTCATTGTTTGGCTGTTCGATGTCTCTGTCTGTGGGGCTATTTAGGTATGGATTCAGAACTTAACACAAAGACATGATCCCATTGTCTCAGAATTTTCTGACATGGATGCGTAGAAGATCTTGTAGATGGTGTACAACAATGCAAATCTCATTTATTTGATCTTGGATGTCGCACACGCCACATGCTTGTGATGTCTTAATGACTTTTATGAGGGTAGCTATTCAGACAGGGTGTGTTGCTACCTGTGGTGTACATCTTGGCCATTCTGCTATAGACCAATTACTCACACATAATGGTCTTCACTTAGCTTTGTTGTTTCCTCTGTGTCCTTAAATTAGAGCTTCCTCTCTCCTTCCTCCCTCCCTCTTACTGGGTTTAATGAAAATGCTCTCCGAAGGTCATAAACATTGCTACAAGTCTGTGTATGCTGGGCTTTTGTGATTCAAGCTGGATTATTGTGTTCATGCTGTACTCGCAAAACTGTACATAAAATAGAGCTTTGGACATTAAATAGCTTATTATTTAAATGGAATTAAGAAAAAGATGAAAGAAATAAGAAAATTAAAAAGGAATTGGATTATTTCATAAAATGAAAAGGAATCATGTTTGGAAATCAAAAGCAAATTTATTTGGCTTCAAAATCGATATCAGTATTTTTTTTTTCCTTAGAAACCCCTTCACATTTTTAATGACACCATGTATAAAGGGGTATAGCAATATACTGCTCACAAAATATTTAATTTGTAGTTAAAAACCCATTCCACTGCTCTGCTGATGCCTTATAACAGTTCCTTATGTGGCCAGAGCTTTTAAGGTTAAGATGAAGCCTTACTCTATTGAACGCAAACAGTTCAACTGACCCATTGATATAAGAAAATGGAGACTTTGATGCAAATTGTCTGTAATTGCTACCTAATACCAAGGGAATAAGTCTTTTACATGTTTATGTTCAGGTAAAATATTTACAATAATAAGTATTGTAGGTACTATTGTAGTATTGTAGGTCACAAATCATCACATGGGAATTTTACATTTGGTACATGGTTTTCAAATGTGACATTTTGTTACTTTTGTGCAAGGGGCACTAAGAGATAGATTAAATGAAATGATGGCAAGGAGAATGCCAAAAGAGGTTGCATTTAAAGCTTCCTACAGGTTATGTAGGGGTAAAAAAAAACATGTCTGACTGCGCTGGTTAGAGGTAATAGGAGTTTGCCACACAAACCCCCTTACCAAACCATTGAATAGAAGGAAAACCTGTAAGAAGCTCTTAATTTTGAGCGGGTACCATTTACCTTACAGTATCACAAACACCAGGAATATATAGGCAGGACTGCAATAAAAGGGTTTAGATCAAAGCATATTCACTTAAGGTGAGCTGGAAGTACATATTTTAATCTGATTCAAAATTTGTGGCAGTTCTGAATACCAATGTTAACTGTTGTTCTCCATCCAATCACACTGAGGTTAAGCTATTTAGCAAAGAATAGGCCAAGCAGTCACAGTCCATAAGTGTAAAATTCAGGCTATATAAACTTGTGCCATACTCCTCAATTACTCTGAAGTTATTTTCCCATTCTGCTTCACAACTTTGTGGTACTTCTGATGATTGTTTTTTTATAAAATCCAACCAAAATACATAATGTTGTTTGTGGTTTTAGTGTAAAAAAACTGTGAAGGAGATTAACCCTCTACAATGCTCTGTGTAAAGAATTCTTAAAGGCAAATGTACTCGTATAATGTTTCTTTTTTTTTTTTTTTCTAAAATACCTCTGAATTTTTATATGTATATAAGGAATTTTTTAAAACTGCAATTTGAAAAAAAAAATACAGATTGGTATTAGCCAAATACAGATTTTTGGGCTTAACCTAAAAATACATCATATTGTCCAGGCATGAGCAGTATAGCACCTTTAAAGACAGTCTTTAGCTGCTGTAAGTATCCTTAATTAGTTAACTGCTTAGTCTTAGGAGAGTATGAGGAATACATCTACTCTTTCCAGATGTTATTTGGACAGTCAGCACAGTTGATTGTATAGTTGCATGATGTCATTGCTGTAGCTTAACGCACAGGTTGATCCTAATAATAAGAGGCTCAATACGTCTGAAAATAATGAAGGAATGGTCTTTGAAACTTTCAGAGAAAGAAGAAAATGTGAACACACTGTTCTTATGTATCACAACACAGAACAGTGGGGACTCTGTTCACATCCTTGGTCAATCAGACCATGTCAAATGCATAATGATGCATTTATTTGTTTATTTTTTCCATTTACATTTCTTTTTTTCCTCTCCCTTTGGCTACGGGGGAAGGGCGGGGAGGTACACATGCACAACCGGTTGTGGTATGGTTTTGGCATAGATGTGTTATTCATGTTCAAACATTGTGGTTATCACAATCCATATTCATACTTGTAGAAAGGCTTTCTGTGTGCATAGAAACATCGTATCCCCACTATCATTTTCCCACTATTAGCAGCCTCAGAGACAAAAAGCTGTGGTTGTGTCTGACTGGGCTAGATGATTAAGTTTTTATGTATCCATATGGAAGGATCCTCCATCCACACATGGCTCTCCCATTTATTATGTATTGTTAGTTTCTTCTGGCCTTTGAGGCCTTTTGGGGAATCACACTGTGTTCTGGCGCTGGCTTTGCAAGAACTTATTATGGCCTGCTGATATAGCTGTCTTTTGCCTAGTTTCATAAAACCTTTCCTGTTGAGAACAGAGCGGACAGCAAGGCTGATGGAGATCCATATTCTTCTGTCTTCAAATGTTAGGTTTAGCCCTAGGTGGGTGTTGTAAGGGTCTGGGTAAGGCCATACAAATTCAAATAATGCAAACTGAATGGAAGTTATGCAAAGTGCCGTTTGTATAGTGGGCCATAACGTGTGTGTTCAGTCTTGATAGATCTGTGATGAGGCCACCAGTACCTTTCATCCTAATGGATACCAGCTGACCAATCAAAGTACAGAGACATGGCCACAGATAAGACCATTGGAGCAGGGGAAATTCTGGTAAAGTGCTCACAAAAGGGGACCCCCTCTCTTCCTATTCTACCCCTCCCCCTCATTGCTGCTATCAGCAATCAGCCTGGGTTAATAGTCAGAGCCCAAGGCTGGTTGATTGAGGCCAGCTACACATCCGACAGGACGGAACCCCAAGTTGGGTCACAAAAAAGACCCCAGCCATTCACATTGAGTTTTCTGCCTCATCAAAATGTACATACTTCATTTCAGGAGGCAAAATGTGTTTTATGATTTTTCAGAAGATGAGAAACTGAAAGCTAAAGGGAATCCTGATGATACTGCACCCTGACTCAAGCTGGCCTTTTAACTTTTTGGCAGTCTACTATTTTATGCCTAAAGATCTAAGAAAGGCACTTAAGGCTAATACTCTCTGTGGAAAGTGAATCACAGTTTGACTCTTGAACTCTGAGTTAAATTGTATGACTGAATGCTTTATTAAACTTGTCCAACCAGATCACTGTAAATTGGACCTGGGTCAGAAGCTACAAACAGCTGTTGTGGTCCTCACCAGGTGGCCACACTTTCAGACTTCTTTCTTGTTATCGTGCTCTTTGACTGCAAAGCGAAAAAGTATTAATGTTAATGGTGCTGGAAGGAGATGACTGAAGCACTATTGTAATCACCCAGCAATCTTTGCAACATTCTGCAGCTGGGTTGGTTCAGAGAAAGAGTCTTAAGCCGAAAGAGTATGGACATTGATCAACATCTTGAAAGAACACTGACACACAATTGCTCACGTATGCAATAGAGGTTGCACATGTGCATTGTCTCCTTTTTTTTGTCCTTTTTTTCTATCTTGGATTTTGCTTTATTTGCTTTGCCAGGAAAAAAATACCATGAAAACTGTTTCCTTGTCTGCATTTTCTTGTATGTGTGCATTCATAGTCAATTGATATGTATGAATGCAGTGAAAGGTTTCTGTTGAAATGGCCTTTGGGAGGCAGGAATGTGTGTGAGAAGAGGGGAGGCTGTCTACCTGTCAAATGTGTCAGTGCTATGTGCTGCTCCCATTGCCTGAACCTAGCCTGACACTAGTGATAATAATCACACAGACTGAGTAAAATATGTGACTTTTCCACAATGTATGTTCGGAAAAGCCATAAATCCTAATAAACTCACAAAATTAAACTGCAAACATGCATTCTTGTTTGTACTGGTATAAAGTATGAAGATTTCATGTATATAAATGTTTTTTCTTGGACTTTCATAGTTTTAATCTAAGTACCACTAGCCACAATTGTATTTTATTTTTCATATGCTTTATGGTAATGAACCTTCCATTTAGGTTGTATGATGTTTTTTTTTTTCATTTTTACATGAGAGGAAAAATGAGTAGCATAAGACTTAACGAAATAATAAGGAAGATAAGTTATGTAGGTGTACATTAAAATAATTTT